ATTTTGGCATCCCTTCATTGGCTTCCAGTGTCTTTCAGGATTCATTTTAAGATTCTTTTATTTGTTTTTAAGTCTTTGAATGGTCTTGCTCCATTGTATCTTGCTGAGCTTTTATTTCCTTATAGTCCCTCTCGGTGCCTCAGATCAGCTGACCAGCTCTTGCTTGAGGTACCGTGGGCCAGGCGTAAACTCAGAGGGGACAGAGCGTTTTCCATTGTGGCTCCTAAGCTATGGAATGCGCTGCCCCTTTACATCAGGCAGGCCGCCTCGTTGGCTATTTTTAAAACTTACTTGAAGACTCACTTGTATGCTTTGGCGTTTGATATGCTATGAGACTCTGTTTGGGCTGAGTTTTGGTTGATAGTATTTTGTTATTTTGCTATGTTGGTTCTTTTATGTTATTTTATTGGTATTTTAATATTGTAGTTGTCACGTTTTTAGATGTTTTGAATTGTATCTTATGTTAAGCACTTTGTTGGCCTCGGCTGTGTTCAAGTGCTTTATACAGTGCCTTGCGAAAGTATTCGGCCCCCTTGAACTTTGCGACCTTTTGCCACATTTCAGGCTTCAAACATAAAGATATAAAACTGTAATTTTTTGTGAAGAATCAACAACAAGTGGGACACAATCATGAAGTGGAATGAAATTTATTGGATATTTCAAACTTTTTTAACAAATAAAAAACTGAATAATTGGGCGTGCAAAATTATTCAGCCCCTTTACTTTCAGTGCAGCAAACTCTCTCCAGAAGTTCAGTGAGGATCTCTGAATGATCCAATGTTGACCTAAATGACTAATGATGATAAATAGAATCCACCTGTGTGTAATCAAGTCTCCGTATAAATGCACCTGCACTGTGATAGTCTCAGAGGTCCGTTTAAAGCGCAGAGAGCATCATGAAGAACAAGGAACACACCAGGCAGGTCCGAGATACTGTTGTGGAGAAGTTTAAAGCCGGATTTGGATACAAAAAGATTTCCCAAGCTTTAAACATCCCAAGGAGCACTGTGCAAGCGATAATATTGAAATGGAAGGAGTATCAGACCACTGCAAATCTACCAAGACCTGGCCGTCCCTCTAAACTTTCAGCTCATACAAGGAGAAGACTGATCAGAGATGCAGCCAAGAGGCCCATGATCACTCTGGATGAACTGCAGAGATCTACAGCTGAGGTGGGAGACTCTGTCCATAGGACAACAATCAGTCGTATACTGCACAAATCTGGCCTTTATGGAAGAGTGGCAAGAAGAAAGCCATTTCTTAAAGATATCCATAAAAGTGTCGTTTAAAGTTTGCCACAAGCCACCTGGGAGACACACCAAACATGTGGAAGAAGGTGCTCTGGTCAGATGAAACCAAAATTGAACTTTTTGGCAACAATGCAAAACGTTATGTTTGGCGTAAAAGCAACACAGCTCATCACCCTGAACACACCATGCCCACTGTCAAACATGGTGGTGGCATCATCATGGTTTGGGCCTGCTTTTCTTCAGCAGGGACAGGGAAGATGGTTAAAATTGATGGGAAGATGGATGGAGCCACATACAGGACCATTCTGGAAGGAAACCTGATGGAGTCTGCAACAGACCTGAGACTGGGACGGAGATTTGTCTTCCAACAAGACAATGATCCAAAACATAAAGCCAAATCTACAATGGAATGGTTCACAAATAAACATATCCAGGTGTTAGAATGGCCAAGTCAAAGTCCAGACCTGAATCCAATCGAGAATCTGTGGAAAGAACTGAAAACTGCTGTTCACAAACGCTCTCTATCCAACCTCACTGAGCTCGAGCTGTTTTGCAAGGAGGAATGGGCAAAAATTTCCGTCTCTCGATGTGCAAAACTGATAGAGACATACCCCAAGCGACTTACAGCTGTAATCGCAGCAAAAGGTGGCGCTACAAAGTATTAACTTAAGGGGGCTGAATAATTTTGCACGCCCAATTTTTCAGTTTTTTATTTGTTAAAAAAGTTTGAAATATCCAATAAATTTCGTTCCACTTCATGGTTGTGTCCCACTTGTTGTTGATTCTTCACAAAAAATTACAGTTTTATATCTTTATGTTTGAAGCCTGAAATGTGGCAAAAGGTCGCAAAGTTCAAGGGGGCCGAATACTTTCGCAAGGCACTGTACCTAAGCATTTGAATCCACAACAATATATTGCTCTCAAAAGCTATTTTATTTCTTTTTCACCATGTCTCTCGAGACCCACCCCGTGAAAAACACTGCCATAGGGGACTTGTTGTGTTGGCGGCCCCTCACCCTCACACAAAGGTTTAGTTCACTGCTACGACTTGCTTTACGAGCTTAACTGTAGTTTATTGCAAACTAGATATCCATACAACATTGTTTAACTAATAAAAATAAATGGTGAATGTATTGGCCACTATCTTTTGTAATCGCTCTGTCTCTGTCCCCAGATGAAGAAAGGTGTCTCTGGTAGCCCCATAAATTCCTCCTGTTAATGTGATTTTGTTATCTGTAATTGTTGTGTACAATTACATGCTATCAAATAAAATGTTCTACTTTATACTTCTACTCTGCTTCATGTCAGAGGCAAATACTGTAGATTTTGCTCCACTGCATTTATTTGCCTGCAAATAACTTTAGTTACTAGTTAGTTTGTAGATTCATATCAATAAAAAATAAGGCTGCAAATTAATTATGGTGTATGTAGCTTCCCAACAGTATATACAGAACAATATCTTAAATAAAATGAGCCCCACCATTATCAGTTACAATTTTAAAGACACATGAATCCATCAATAATTATAATCCAGTAAGAAAGTCACTTTCTGCTTTTCCCGTTTTAGGGGTCACCACAGCGAATTGTCACACTGACGACTCGCATGTTGACATTTGGCACGTATTTTTCCCCGGATCCCCTGGATTCGAACCCAGGGCAATAATTATAATCCAGTAACACATATTATTTACAAATGGGTTATTCTGCACTTGCACTATGTTTGGTACATTTTAAGTATATTTTAGGTTTAGTTTTTACTTTTACTTGGCTAAGGTTTTGAGTTCAGTACTATAACTAGTAACAGAGTAGCCTATTTTTAGTACTGATCCACCTCTGAGCCTTGTATCTCTATATGTTTGTCCTCCCTGGTTACACACATGGGAAGGTCAGGATATTACATACACCTCTAAATATAATGTAGTCCAGTACAACATCACCTTTAACTATGACCTCAGTAATAAACATATAATTGAATTTATATATTTATGACAATTTCACCAAAAACTGAAACATTTTGAGCTTCATACACACAGATGTTAAGGTGGAAGTGTTGCATTGAATTGTATACAATTGTACAAGTGTACTGTAGTGATTTAAGTTACATGTTAATATGGATTATGTAGTAGAAGAGTGTGTATGGGTTCACTTTAAGTTCATGTGAGCTGAACAATGAGCTTATATAAGTTGGTCAAGATGTTTCCTGTTTTTGAGTACATCTCAGGGTGGTCTCCTAAAAGCTGGAGACAGGAAGCTAAGCTCAGAAATTGACGTAGCAGCCTAATAAATGCTGCGGATAAAAGAGTGAGGCTGAAGGGTGTAGGAGATGGTGCGGCAGGCTTCCGTGTGACAATGACTAACTGGCGCTCTGACAATCTTCTTATTTAATACTTTATCTATCCCATTGCAGGAGTAGTGATTCCGTTCCCTGTTTCCTAACTACCAGATTACCTATTTAACTACTACTCTGTTCAGAATAATTGTAATATTAAATGATTACTTAAATTGGGATGATTTGTCTGAATTAATTTAGTCTGTATCACATTCTAGCCATGACAGTACCTAATAAAGTGGCCCATGAATGTATGTTGCTGGTAAGTTATAAGCAAGTTTAATAAAAGTCATTTGCTTATCAGTGATCAATCAAGACCTTTGAACTTGAATAGAAATCAGATTTGGACCTTTGAATGTTAAGTTTGAGAACCCCTGCTTTATGGGATTTTTTAGACGTTTAATGCAGACTGGAAATTTCAACTCAGAACCTGGTGAATAAGAAATGTTAGGTTTTTTCTCTCTCATCACATTACTGACCTGTTCCTTCCTTTGTCCTTCCAGAGCTGTCACAGCAACATGTCTGTAAGGAGGAGGTGGTTCTGGCTGACCAGCAGCTCTGGAACCAGGAGAAGAACTCCAGTCTGGACCCAGAGCCGCCACAGATTAAAGAGGAACAGGAGGAACTCTGCATCAGTCAGGAGGGAGAGCAGCTTGGACTGAAGCAGGAGACCGATCCTTTTATGTTGACTCCTACTTATGAGGAAAGGGACCACAGTGAAGCAGAACCAATCAGTGACCAGCAGCTCCTCTGTCACAGCTCTGCTGTAGCTGACAGCCAGGATCAGGAAGGAAGCCAGCATGGAGACTCAGGATCAGCTAGTAATGCAGAGCCAAAGCCAAAGAGGAGACGTCACAAAGACACAAGTCACAATAGCAGTGTGGACACCTCTCCTGTGTCAGAGGCTGACTCTGATCCTCCCACAGATAGAAAGTCTTTAAAGTGTGACACTTGTGGCAAAACCTTTAGATACAAGACCATTTTTAATAGACATCTTAGAAGTCACACAACAGAGAATCAGTATTGTTGTGAAATGTGTAAGAAAATTTTCAAATATAACTCTGACCTTTTGGTCCACATGAGAACCCACACAGGTGAGAGGCCGTATGTTTGCAAGACATGTGGGAAAGGATTCATACAGTCATCACATTTGAATGTTCATTTACGAATCCACACAGGCGAGAAGCCGTATTCTTGCAAAACTTGTGGGAATTCTTATAGGCAACGGCAGCACTTATTGAACCACATGAGATCCCACACAGGGGAGAATCTGTATGTTTGCAAGACGTGTGGGAAAGGATTCGTGGAGTCATCAGTTTTGAAGGTTCATTTAAGAACCCACACAGGTGAGAGGCCGTATGTTTGCAAGACATGTGGGAAAGGATTCATACAGTCATCACATTTGAATGTTCATTTACGAATCCACACAGGCGAGAAGCCGTATTCTTGTAAAACATGTGGGAACTCTTACAAGGAACGGCAGAAGTTGTTGATCCATATGAGATCCCACACAGGAGAGAGACCCCATGTTTGCAAAACATGTGGGAAAGGATTTATGCAATCATCAGCTTTGAAGGTTCATTTAAGAACCCACACAGGTGAGAGGCCATATTTTTGTAAAATATGTGGGAACTCTTATAGGCAACGCCAGCGGTTGTTGATCCACATGAGAACCCACACAGGTGAGAGGCCATATGTTTGCAACATGTGTGGGAAAGGATTCATGCAATCATCAGTTTTGAAGGTTCATTTAAGAACCCACACAGGTGAGAAGCCGTATTCTTGTAAAACATGTACAAAGAGTTTCTCAACCAGCAGTGGCCTTTTGATCCACCTCAGAACCCACACAGGTGAGAGGCCGTTTTCTTGTAAAACATGTGGGAACTGTTTCACACACAGGGGTCACTTGTTGGTCCACATGAGAATCCACACAGGGGAGAGGCCATATGTTTGCAGGACTTAAACGTCATCTTCTAACAAAATGTCGGTGTACTTTTAGAAGGTCATCAGATTTGAAGATTCATTTAAGAACCCACACAGGGGAGAAGCCGTATTCTTGTAAAACGTGAGAAAACCTTCACATATGTTATATATTAGTAATTATTAGACAATGTGTTGAATCAAATGTGTTAGTAATGCAGTTTAGTAATATTTTAAATCTGCCCTAGTCAGTTTTGTTTCAAGGTTAGAAGACAAGAGTGTTGATTCTGAAAAGTGAACCATGGCACCAATTGTTATCTTGTTGGAATATTATGTCTGAATGAATGCTTAGCTACGCACCATGTGACAACATATACACACATTGTGCTTCTTCATTTTGTTATGACTAGGTAAAGCGCAGTGGCTCCATGCAGCTGGAGCACTAGATAAGAGATGAAGTCTGCAGACTCACTTCATCTGTGTAAGGGGTTAGCCCAAAACTTAAATAAATGTATTAGGCTCTGTGTTTCCGGGTCTCCTTGTTTCCAGCAGCCTGCATGGGGATGCCTGGAAGGGGGAGCCACCCAGGTTGTGTTTTATAATTTTTTACTTGCAGTTTAAAATAGATCTGCATTAAAGGAAGAAAGACAGATTCCTTTGTTATTCAGAACTGTCCAATAAAAGAACTGGGTTATTACACATAATAGTTTCTTTTCGGTCCCTATGAGAACTGTTAGAAATTGATAATTCAGGCAGATAATTATAGACATTAATGTGCTTTAATGTGTTGTTAATGCAGTTAGTAATATTTGAAGTCTGCTCTAGTGTGCTTTGCTTCAAGGTTAGAAGATAAGGTTAAATCTGAAAAGTGTATCTTGATGTCAATTGTTTTCTTGTATTAATCTGGTGTTAGATTCATGTCTGAATGATTGGTTTAGTTACACACCACGTAACAACATACTGTACACACACGGAGTTCTTCATTTGTTCTGATTAATGCTTGACACATGTGGAGCATAAGAGAAGGAGACGCCGGACTGTCTCCAACTCATGATGATTCTATATCTGTTTGCGTATAGGGGTTAGCCCAAGAAATTGTATAAATGTATTGGGCTCTGTGTTCCAGGTAGTCTTTCTCTTCTCCAGCAGCTGGTCTGACGGAGGGAGCCACCCGGTTAGTGTTCTGTAATCTTTGTGTGTATGTGTGTGTATGTATGTATGTGTATATATATTTTTGTTTTTAAATAACACCAGCACTAAAATCCCGAAAGACGGACCCCTTCCTTACTCGGATCTGTCCAATAAAAGAACTGGGGTATTACAACTTGGGGCCGTGACCTTCGGAATTGGCTGAATTCTGAGCTGGATTTCACATCGGAAGTGAACGGACTGCACAGATCAACACTTGCCAGCAATAATAAAAGGTGAGCAGGAGACTAGGGCTGCACGATTTGTGAAAATTTTCATATTGCGATTATTAAGGTCAATATTGCGATATGCAATTGTGATTATAATAATTGGTATTGAGCCAAATTGATGGGTTTTTAAGGAAAAAGCACACACAGATTAGTAATAATGCTGCAATGTGTATTTGTAAAAATAGAAATGGTTTCAAAATAAATATTTTTTACAAAATGAAATAACACTTGCATTAATGTAAATGTATTTTGTCAAAGGTATAGCTAAATTAAACAAATAAAACATACACATCTTCACAAAAATAAGATATTTTTGTCCAAGAAAAACAGGACATTTATGCAGGATCATGTAACACACTCTGTATAAACTCTTTTGGAAAAAAAAATGTATATAAAATTGTGCTTCAAACTCAAACCACTAAATCTTTTTTTAATGACCAACTGGTCCAAAT